TTGGTCTCACAAAGGTGTGTGGATTGTGGTGAAGTCAGTATCTCCACTGAGGAAAGAGGGTCTGGGGCTTCCCAGTCTGCAGTCTTGCTGACATTTGCTTATAAATCTTCCTGAATGTCAATTCTCATACACCCCTAGGACAGACTACCAAAATGTAATTAATTTGCTGCCAGAGGGAGGTAGAGGGGGAAAAAATAATTATTTCATTTCATTTAATTTATTCACTAATTTAAAGATACTTGAGGTGGATAATAGTGAAAGATGTAAAGAAATAAATACACTTAAAATATGGTAGAAGTCAAATAGAGGAAAGGCAGGAAACAATCTTGCTAGCATTCATACAACAGAATTAAATTAACCCTGGATTTCTGGAAGGAAAAATAGCTACAGGGCAATATGGTGAGGAGGTGGGGAGAGCACATTTCTTATTGCCTGATAAAGGTTGTGTGCTCAAAGAGCGGAATTTTTCTGCTCTTGAGAGCAGGGTTCTACATTTTAGGAGTAATTTACTGGAAATCTCTTCATGTAAAGGATTATGAATTTCAAGATGGAGAATACCTTCACAAAGAGTTTGGTTATAGGACACTGTGCGTCCATCAATACTCAGAGATGCCTTGGCTGTGTTTCTGAGTTACTACTTAAACTTGTAACTCATGGCATTTTTTGGGGGAAAGTAATTATCATAATACTGATTTATCTGTTTCCCATGTCCCCCACTGGCTTAAGTGACCAGAGCCACACCACATAATACCTCAGCACAATCCTCATGTGGTAGTCTATAAAGCCACCCCATGTGCCCATTGCTAGTTCCTGACTTGGTGAAATGGTGCATGGAGCCATGCCGCCATTTTGATTCCTGATATTTCCCTCATATGGGGGGGACTTCTGGCTCAGAGTTTGGATCCTCATAAGAATTTTCAGTAGGTAGAGTATGTTCAATTTTACAAGAACATTCTGGACAGAACAGATTTCCTATTTTAGGAGAGTGGTTCTCTTGGACTAGCACTTGGGCTAGTATCACCTGGCAATCTATTAGAAATGCAAATTCTGAGGTCTCATCTCAGAATGACCATCACAGAAATCCTCGGAGAGGACTCAGCAATCTGTCTCAGCGTGTTCTGTAGGTGATCTGATGCATGGTCAAGTTTAAGAATTGATCCTTTAGGCAAATTCAATGACCTTCTGATCTGATTCAATACATCCGTAGTTCCTAAATAGTGCCGTTCATTGGAGCCACATGTGGGACACTTCTAAGGACTAATCCCTGGGTCCCAGGCTTAGAGATGGGATTAGTTGACAATGGAATATGGTACGGAATCAGAATATTAAAAATTTCCCCGGAAGAATACAATCTACAGCAGAATTTGAGAATTATAGAAATGGGATATACTGGTGATTCTGCAGCTACGTGCAATTCAGGTTTGGGGTATGAATAATCATTAACCACAGCAAAAACTTTCTGTAGAGCTACAAACACTTTTAGATTTGCATAGGGCATTCCTCATTCTACTGGTAAGGGAATTTAAGATCCAAGCGCATAGCTCACCTCTTCCTGATGATTTAAGTAAAGGTTCTGCCTCAATGACTACATTTGGGGAAGAAAAGCATTTGTCCTCTCATTAGATGCTGATCACACTCAGCCCATTTGATTATTTTGTAATCTGGCTCAACGAGGCAGCTGAGAAATCAGACTCCGACGCAGATGAGCACTTGTGAAAGTCCCTCTGAAATAACTCTGAGTTTAGCCTTAATGGTTTTCTAATTTGGGAGCCAATCATCTGGATAAATGCCAGATTAACTGGATAATTGCTCAACCCTGCACCTCACTTTAATTGGAACATGAGTTACTCGATGCTATTCCAGTGCCCGGCCAGGGTCAGATGCCCTCTACCATGCAGGCTGGGAGAATCGCTTAATACTAAACCATTACATAAAACGTCCTCAGGACACAGTGCGATGGTGGTTATCAGAGGCAGAGGAGAATGGAAAGGCGGGAGAGATAGGGAAAGATTGATCAATGGGCAGTACATCACAGTTGGACAGAAGAAATCCTGATGTCCCGCGGCAAAGAAGGGCTACTATGTGCAAGACCGCGTACTGTGCATCTCAGAAAGATGGAGGGCAGGTTATTAAAGGTTTTGCCATGAAGAAATGCTAAATGTTTCCAGATGTAGATACGTTTAACCTGATTTAAACACTATAGACTACAAAGTATGCAAACCTTGAAAGGTCACACAGTAACCCACTGATGTGTACAATTTTTATGTTTCTACAGATGTGTCAATTAAATAAAAAAGAAAAAAGAATTTTCTCAAGACACAGTTACTTCTGCACCATATATAGTCAAGTCAGGTCATATTCAAAAATCCAGCAGATGCCCTCTGGCTCTTAGAGATAGCTCATCCCATTGTGAAATGAAAATTGCCCAGTTGTTATGGTACCTTTTGTGACCCAGGTAAGTTGGAAAAAGTACCCAAGATCTTGGCGGTCACAATCACTTCTCTGTAGAGAAGTCACCAATACTTTCATACAGATCCTCTCTACTCTCCCCCGGGGCTGTAAATGGTGGACATTTGCCAACCCAACTGCCTCCTTCTCTGGGAACCTGACTTCGGAAGGCTTGGTCTCACCCTCTCTCCCTCCTCCTACCTCCTCCACCTCCACCACCAAAGAGGCAGCCCGAGGACCAGCCGATGAAGATATTTAAATAAGGCCAGCCTCTTCACTTTGCTCTGAGATGCAGTTCATGTTTTAAAAACCTCTCTTGGTGACGAGGCCCAGACTAGACTGTATCTGAGACCCACTTCTCAGCTCCTCCACTTCCCTATTCTGCCTTCTCTTCTAGATGTTTCCTGGAGAACACTCCTTCAGTCAGTTACAGGTCCTCGAAGCCCTGCCTCAGACTGCTTTGAGACCTTAGATATCTTCTCCATCATCGTTATCCATGCACCCTGAGCACCGTAGGACCAGTATGACAGAGGACTTCAAATTGGCAATTGGATCAGCAATCGCAGTCACCTGCACGGTCATCTCAGGGGACACAAATAGTACCCAGGCGTAGAAAGAACAGCAAAGTTTTCTTTTTTAGCCACAAAGTACTGGACTGCCACAATTATCACTACATTTTAAGTTGTCCATAGAAGATTCAAGTTTCCCTGGATTCCAAGATTGTCTTCACTCCAATTCCATTATACCCTCAGGAGTGAAGACAGGTGCCGCAGTCCGGCTGCAGCAAAATAACCAGGGGGTGACGAGCAACTTGTGTAGATTGATACAGCAGGAGAAGGAGCCGTTTATTGCAGGACAGGAGCAGTATTTATACATTCCACACAGCTTATCTAATTAGCATAAACTAGATACATCAGTCAACCAATAAGGAATCTCCACACTTAATGGCTCGCTGGTGTTACTTCACAAACCACTCCCTCTGGCATTTTGCCAGGCGCCATCCAGACTTGTTTACAGACTCTAACATTCAGACTCTAACAGACAGGGATGGCATGAGGGGTATCCCTACCTACACGGCACCTCAGGATGACCACCAGAGTAGGTCCCCCAAGCGAACCTCATCCACAGTACAGGTTCATACAGGAAAGAAGGTCTGGAAACAGTTACCTTGGGAAATGATAAATTATGAATTGGTAATAGGTCCATCCCAAAAAAGGCCATTTCAATTTGATGGAGTTGTAATCAGTTCTACGTAGACTGACTTCAAGATAAAAGTCTCTCTATAGCATTTGTCCTCCAAGTGAGTACGTCACCCAGCGCCTAGCTTAATTATTTAGCAGTTTTAATCCATTAAATATAGATATGTTACATATGCATTAATTAACCAGAGAGAATGTATAAAACATGATCAAGGAAAAAAAACCTATTAAATATGTGCTTCCTCAAAACTAACTCTTTATTCATGACTGCAGAGCTATTATCAAGCATTAAGGGGAATCTCCTCTACCGCACAGGGGATGCTAATATTTGACCCATACCTGGTACCCACACACTTTTTCCTTCCCTATAGAGAAGCGTTTATTTTCCCATTTTGTTTCTTACCATTTTGAACCTCATCGAGATTTGAATACACGTAATAACAAGTCACTTGTCTGACCCCAAAGAGCCAAATTATCAGTATCCCGTCTCGTGGAATACTATTATAGCTTACCGATGTTTACCAATATTAATTCCTGGGTACTTACAAATAGTCAAACATCTCCCTCATGCACCTTAAGAGGGACTTCAGAGATTTACCAAATAAACACTTAGCCATCTTTCAACTCACTTGAAATATACGAATGTGAGCTTTCCGAAAAGAGAAAGGGATTTAAGAGGGGACTTCTAAGTCTCTCATTTAAGAATCTCTGAATGTGGCCATGAATAATTTTTCCATCTTTATTTCTCAGGTTGAAACTCTGCCTGTACCTACTTTGTGCATTTGAATCAAAAATTTTGGAAAAAATATTCAGGACGTGTAGAAAACAACCCTGAGTAGTTTGTAACTCTGAGACTTTGCTCTGTGTCACTCTAATCTGGAACAGTCCTGCTTCTCTATTCTGTCTGTCCAGATCTAAACTGTGCAAACTTAGATGGCCCGTACAGCCTGTTAAACTCTCCATCCTAAATCCCTGCAAGACTTACGAATTTCACTAATTTTTTTTTGACCTGTGTCATTTATTGATTGTTTTTGTGTCAAGCATTGCTGCAATCAGGAATAGTCGACTTCGCTTAGTGCTATGGTCTGAATGTTTATGGCATCTCAAAATTCTATGTTGAGCCAGGTGCAGTGGCGCACACCCGTAATCCCAATGACTCAGGAGGCTGAGGCAGGAGGATCGCAAGTGCAAAGCCAGCCTCAGCAGTTTACTGAGGCCCTAAGCAACTTAGTGAGACCCTTTCTCGAAATAAAACAAATAAAAAGGCTGAGGATGTGGCTCAGTGGTAAAGCACCCCTGGGTTCAATAAAAAATTTTTTTTTTTTCATTTCTTTCCCCATATAAAGTACTCACCTATTACGCTAAGCTCCGCACTGGAAAAGATAACTCCATGTTTATTCTCTGCCACACACTGATACATCCCGGCATCCGAGAGATTCACGACGGTTATGTTGAGCGTTCCTTGCTCGATTTGAATTCTGTCCTGTGGAAAAAAAAAAGAGAAAATGCAAAAACAATGACCTTCTGCAACTGAGACCTTAAGGCAATTTTGCTACATGTTCTATCAAGGGGACTTAATGGAAAGAGAATAGCCATCGTATAAGCAATTTACATAACATGATCTATTTATCTGTCAACTAAACTCGTGGCAGGTCAGATGCTAAATAGAACATCCAGGGCATCAGTGGGTAAATGGAATTTAAATTGTGGGATTCTCTTGAGTTCTCATTGATTTAATAGTGAAACCATTCAGATTAATATCCCCCTCCAAATAGATGAATTCGAAATGTAAATGGGTTTTTTTACTCCAAGGCTTTGGGCTAACTGGGGAAAGTTGGGGGGGGGTGGGAGTTGACCGTTGAGGGTTGAGGACACTCAAATGACCAGCAGGCAACCCTTTGAAGGTTCCCAGGATTATAACTTTCTTGGAGGAAGCCCAGGAAAATGTTTAACATCAGTTCAGATTTACCCCCAAAATGCATTTTAACAATTTAACGTTCCTGTACTTGATTGCATTTGGTGGTATGATGGAAGGTTGGGACCATCTTCTGCGAGTCTAGCTGTGGGGGACAAAGATGATGCGTGGCACAAAAGATGTTTGTCACCCTGAAGGTGTTGCAACTTGCAAATCCATCTCTGTACGTATTACCTCCTGTCCAGTCTGTGCTCAAATCGAGGCATCCAAGTCCCCCTGCATTAAACAGAGGGACCGTCACGCCTGTTACCTGGGGACCTACGATCCAGCAATTTGTTTGAGTTTGGCCTTTATCACTGAGAGATTCCTGGACCAAGAGGAGCCCTTCCAGGGAACGGAGGAGGAGGTCCATGTGACCCGGGTTGGTGAGGACAAACAGTCCCCTTTCTCTTCCTGGTGCCCAGAGCAGTAATCTTTCCTAGGGGTCCTATGGGGCTGTGGGGACGAGACCTGACCATGAGAAACAGGCTCTCAGTTTGGTGCCTGAGGAAAATGTCAAATCCCAGTTAACATTTGAAGTTTAGGGGGGGAAAACACAATAAGGAAAATTCAATTGGACACAATTGTTCCTCCTCCTTCATTCAGCATTCTCTGCCACAATCTTATTCCATTTAGATGGAAATTTCCGGAATCAGATTGATACCCCACCTTGGTCTGCACCGGAGCAAAAGGACATGTCCCAGACCTTACCCATGGCAGAGCCACAAATGTCCATCTGGGAAATTAAAAAACCCAGTGCTTTAGGATGGATGCTGAACTCAACGTGGCTTTGGAGACCCGGGGGTTTATGTAGGATTTCTCTTGGTCAAGGGCATTCCCTTTCCCCCTTTTCCGCTGTGAGTTGGCCTTTCGTTGTGGACGATTTTGGAAACAACTCCTCGTTTCCATAGCAACGAGGCCACCTTAAACAGCACTGTCAGTCCCGAGACACGACGGCGGCCGGCCCTCCGAGTTTGCTTACCCGAGTTAACAGTGGTTCACCGTTCTTTAGCCACCTGTACGTGGGCTTGGGTCTCCCGTTCGCTTTACATTCCCAAAACACGTTCTCCTCCATGGCCACGTGGATGTCATTTATCTTCTGAATCCAATTAGGTTGAGCTGTGGCAGATCAGAAAGCAAGGAACAGGCGTAAACAGGGCGAGTGCTCAACCTGTTTTCATCCTATGCCACCAAAGGGGAACCTAAGTCTTTTAATAAGATTCCTTTCCCAGAGGTTATGCAAACAACAGAGCTGGGTGGAACTGGGGTGTGAGTGTAGGGGGGTGGCCGTATCTGTACCCTACTCCGAATATTCTGTTTGTGATTTTTCAAGCTTCCACTGAAATTAATTTTTTTTTATTAAAAAAATTAATAATATTTTTGAACTTTTAGAATCACTCATGGGCAGAAGGGGCAGAAGGAACTGCCCCTCACCCTTACACATCTGTTGTTATAATTAGAAGGAGAAACCCTTTCCCACCCTCCCACCATGTCTGGCTGAGCTGCTGAATTCTTGGCTCACACTGCTCTTCCACATCGCTCTGCGGCAAGAGGTGACCATGTACCCGGGCTCAGGCTGATGGCACAAGTATCTGATTGGAGAGAACAACTTCCCGGTTATCCATTTAAAGATACCTGCCCTGCATTCTTCTTGTCCCTTCACCCCGATTGGAAAACACTCATAACTGAACAATCCAGGAACACAGAGAGGCTATGGGAGACAGAAGGACCCCTTTCACCTTGAATGACCTTGAGGAAAAGCAGCCCTAGACCTACTTGTTTATTTTTGGATAGAGAAACACAAGAGCAACTTGAATTTATCTAAGCCACTGTATTTTGGGGGTGTCCTTTCTTAGCGTCACTTGGCCTGTCCCCAACTAGCAGACTTCACTCCCACGTGTTGTGCAGACAAACTCTGGGACTCCTTTCTCCCTCAACAAGGTCATCATTGTTTATTACTGATGGATTCCGCATTGATGTCAGATTCCAGGACGGCAGCAGTCCAGCCCCTGAGAAGCCCTGCTCTCTGAGTGAGTCTTGATCTTTACGGAACCTTTTTATGCACCTGGGTGTGGTGGCTCACGCCTGTAATCCCAGTGGCTCTGGAGGCTGAGGCAGGAGGATTGTGAGTTCAAAGCCAGCCTCAGCAAAAGTGAGGCTTTTGCAACTCAGTGAGACCCTGTCTCTAAATAAAATACAAAATAGGGCTGGGAAGGTGGCTCAGGGGTCGAGTGCCCCTGAGTTCAATCTTTGGTACCAAAAACAACAACAACAACAAAACCTTCTTATGCAATCAAGACCTGCCCACAGTCTCACGCAGGAATTCAAAGCAGCACAAAATTCTCTCACTGCCCACAGCTGCGCACCACCTCCACCAGCCAAACGGTACCACAGTTTTCAAGCTTCCACTGAAATTAATTTTTTTTTTTTAAATTTTCCTTGGTCTCAGGGGACATAAAGACATGTTCCATAAAAAGTCTTCCTAAATATCAAATCTTGCTTGGAGCACCATTGAGGCTGTTAACTCTAACGTTACATGAATCAGGAAGGGGACCTTTTGTCCAGAGTCACATGGAAGACACCCCAGCTCTCCTGGATGTTGTCTGTCGAGAGGATGTTTCTGTAGGGCAGGGCTACTGAGGTCCATCTGATCGGAGCCCGTATCCGTGCTATATTAGAAGACGCTGCTCAATCTTCTTAACGTGTCCTTTCACGGACTTGACCCCAGCCGTCTTCATCCGGTGAGGCTTCGAAGCATCCAGAATCGAACTCCAAAGGAAATCGCTCAGGTTGAGGCCAAACTGTGTGTCTTGCTTTCTTCATAATAAACAAAAGTGGAGAAGCGCTCCGTGAGTCACTTATCCAGTAGAGGTCTCCAGGTCCTTGCATACCTGAGGCTTTCTTCTTTTTCCCATCTATGAGCAATTTCATATTTTTATTTTTCCAAATAACAAAACAGGTTTACCCATCCTCTACGGATGGGCCTGATGCATGGCTGCATAATACAGAAGGCCAAAAGGGTCAACTTCAAAAAAAAAAGTTAGAACATCAACAAGCATTAGCTTGAATGAAGGGTTATGACCTACATCCTTGAAAGAGCCGCCCGTGAGCTGCGGCTCTCCATCTTCCTGCTTCTAATGCAGAGGAAGCTCAAAAGAACACCTTTGCACATCTCCCCCGGGAGGACCCCGATGTGCAACCCCGATAGGACTCACGGCAGCTGTGTGCCTGATTCACGTTCAGCGGCTGAATATTGACCCCCCTGTCGAGTCCAGGAAAACAGAGCAAACAAGAAAAGTCCCAGAAATCTGTGTGCAATATTAACCACGAAGCCAAACTTTTGAAAAGACAGTGGAGGGGTGGGGGCAGAGGAGGGGAGGAAAAAAAAAAACTGGAAGGGCAAATGTAAGTTATGAAGCAATGTCAAGTTGAAGTTCAAAAGAGGAAACATCAAAACCACATGCAGAGACAGAGATTTCAATGGGTTTCTCTGCAACACTTGGGCTTACGAGGAGTTGCTTTCTTTCAAACATAGAGAAGGCAGGAAGAAAAGAAAAAAAAAACCTTGCATCTTATAAAGCAGGTGGGGGCAGGGAAGGAAGGTCCTGGGGAGAATTCTGCAAAGTTCTGATACGTTCGACGCTTCTGCGGGGCTCCTTCTGTTTCTTCCTTTGGGGACCTGGGGATCCTGGTACCTGAATGCACACGGGCTGTTGTTCTTGCGGGGGGCCAAGGTGAAATGAACAGCTAATTTGGTGTTTGTGAACCACCTCTGGGTTTTTAAAGTAAAAGGAATTCACAAAAGCTGAATCTGACGTACTGCAAACATCTGCTTCTTAAAGTGAATATCTGCACGTGAGCCCGTGGAGATGAGGAACAGAATAGCCTATTAGGTTAAAAAAAGAGAATGAAGTGGATTTTATGTTCACATGCCAACTGAAGATCTTCAGGGCAAAATCCCACCTAGTTAACGGTTTTCCTTCCTACTCAGATTGGATGAATCATAGCTAAGTGGGTGAGATTTTTGTACTAGAATAAAGTTTGACGCTTAATAGAAATAGCTCATAAATCTCTTTGAGTCACCAAAGTCTGTGGATAACAAACATTCCTGTTTAGTCCATTATAGAAAATATCATTTGTTATACCCACTCCCACCCCCATCTTTTTTGAGGGTGGGGGAATGGAGTTACCAGGGTCTGAACTCAGGGACACTTGACCACTGAGCCATACCCGCAACCCTATTTTGTATTTTATTTAGAGACAGGGTCTCACTGAGTTGCTTAGTGCCTTGCTTTTGCGGAGGCTGGCTTTGAACTCGCGATCCTCCTGCCTCAGCCTCCTGAGCTGCTGGGATTATAGGCACGTACCACCATGCCCGGCCAACCTCAATTTTCTTTTTTTGGATGATGCATCTGGATATCAGATACCAAAATCCAACTATATTTTTCAACTCCATGTCAAAATACCAGCTCAGAGAAAAACCCAGGCAGGTTGGTTCAGTACTATTATTTCTAAATAGTATTATTCTAAATACTATTATACCATTTAGTATTTAGGAATAATTACTAAACAAATGCTAAATGACTTTACAACTATTGGGTACTAAAGTTCAGTACTACTATATTTCTAAGTGCTTTCTTTGATACTATACCGAGATAGTTGAAGGATGAGGTTACCTACCAGTCTTCCTGCCCTGCCCTAAACTCCTCCCATCATCTGGCTCTGTCAAAAGTATATAGTGCCCTGCCGCCATTTTGCCCCTGGATGATGAGCCCCTCTGGTGCTGAATAAAGCATCGCTGGTCCACGAAGAACCATTCCTCTTTTTCATTCTGTAATACCCTTTCACGTGCTTTCAATACTGATCCCACATATTAAACGGAATTAAATTCACATATTAAAATAGAAACATCTATTTTGGCTTTCTGGGTTCTCTCAAGGTCAGATCAGCTAAAGGACATGTTAAGAATACTGAGCGCCGTCATCTTATCTGAGACATGTAGCCTCGTTTCAAGCTACAAATTCAAACCGTGGGTTCAATAGTTGGGCTGGGATCTGACCTTGTCACATGGCTAGTCTCTTAGACCGATGAACAATCCCTTCATTTCAATCTTTTTGTTCAATAACTGTCAGAATGACCTAGATCAATGTTGGCCTATTCCAGCCACGGGATTCAGACAAGCCTCTTTTCCAATAATCATTTTCATGGCAAGCAGATATCATTGGAACTCCATGGGCCAAACAGTTCTCCAAGGTATGCGGCTCTCCAATTTTCCCAAATGGGAAATTTTTAACAGAAAGAAATGCTAGCCAAGGCCCTTCAGCTTTGGAGACTTTAGAACCTTAAAGGAAAGACATTGGCAGCCAAACCCCTTAATTCCTACTGAAAAGATGACCTGTAGACCATTTGCAATTCTTTCTGATTGCTTTTCACAATCTTGGAGAAGATGAGTCCTTTCTGGGATTCGGTGGAGATCTTGCTGACATTGCTTAAGAGTCATACTGGTAGGGGGCTTCGTGAGTCTGAAGATAATGACTTCATTTAGTTTACCACCTATATGTATATAGGTGCTTCCAAAATCTTTATCTCTAGCCTGGCATTCTTGGAAACATGGAGATACTCTCAATGGACCTCAAACCCAACGTTACTAATGTTGGCAGGGGATGGAATCAATTCCCACTGTGATTACAGAGCCTTCCAGTCTATAAAAAATAGATTTCTTGAAACCCCCCGACTTCCAATGTGTAGAAATCACTGGAAGCAAGAGCCAGCTTTATAAGAACTGTATGTGCTGCATTCTGAGTTTGGATCCAACTTGGGTCTCTGTTCAGCCATGAAAATCTCCACTCTTCTGACTTCAGGATCTCATCCATTCCCCACACAACATCAATGGTCACCCTCCCAAGAGTATCCTAACTCAGCTCCACAAAGCCCTGAGGGTTCTTGGAAGTTACCCTTTTGAACTAGCATAGCCTTGCTTGGTTTTACAAATGGGACATTTCTCATAACAAAGTCATGTTGGTTTTTTTTTCCCAAAATGTATAAATGCCACATTTTTTTTATCCATTCATCTATTGAAGGGCATCTAGGTTGGTTCCACAGTTTAGCTATTGTGAATT